CCTCAGTAGGCAGTGGTCTGACCACGACAGGGGTATGATCTCATTACCCCTCAGACCAAGATCACAAATCCACTGCTCCGAGAGGAATACGAGGTCGAGCGTGTGACCCGCTGAGTGGGTTGGGCCTCGGATTACCTGGGTCAAGCCCATGGCTGTCATGGAGGCCATGAACTCCTGCGCTCCATCAGAGTGTTCACCGAGCGAAGGCAAATTGAAGTCCCCCAGAACCATTAGCCTAGGGAACTCAATTGCTAGCTCGGCTACTGACTCATGGGCCGTCTAGAATATCAAAAGAATAGAGGTAATCAAATTTGAGGAAAAGAATGTTTCTTAAGGTAGGCACCACAGCAGAGAAGTCACGTATCAAGGAACCCACCTTGAACCCACCTTAGGAACCCACCTGTGTGTTAAGCAATAGCACTTAGATTTATATACCACTTTACAATGATTTACAAAGTCAGTATATTGCCCACAACAATCTGGGTCCTCATTTTATCGACCTCAGAAGGATGAAAGGTTGAGTCAACCTTGAGCCGGTAAGATGTAGATCCATAGCAGATGGTACCCCTGGCATGACTTCTTTGCCAGATTTAATGGGGCACACCTAATATAATCAGGGAGAGGCAGTCCTCAAATAGCCTAAACCCATGCCATTAGGTATCATCTCTATACTAATAAGTAAAAAACAGGTTATCTCTAACAGGAAGACTCTAATTACAGTATCATAAATCACTGCTGGTGCCATCCATCTGCAATTTATATATAAATCAGATTATAATTACATTTAATTAAAGTTAGACAACAGCATTAAAAAATTTCTATATTATAGTATCACTTACATGGATGTTTATTTTAAGAAAAGACCTGAAATTACAACTAACATGTCCAATTGGATTCTTACCTTCGGGACTCAGGGAAGGAGATATTTCAGGCACACCATTTACATTAGAAGATTCACAAGGAGGGAGAATCTGTCAGTAGATAAAATAACGAATGCTATGGCAATAACATACATCAAAATCATACTGCAAAACAAATTGAAATATTTAATATATATTAAATATTTAATAACTGTTATTTAATATTTCTGAACTACAGTTTCAGTCATCCATCATATGTCAAATAAGATTTTATTGGCATTCTCTAACAGTCTTTGTATCTGTTAATACATGAGTCTAGCTTAGTTTCTTAGGTAAAGGTAGAGGTTCATGCTCATCTCCGTTTCAAAACCAAAGAGCCAAAGATTTCTCCGTGGTCATGTGGCTGGCAAGACTAAATGCCGAAGGAGCATGGAACACTGTTACCTTCCCACCAAAGGTGGTTCCTATTTTTTCTACTTGCATTTTTATGTTTTCGAGCACACTCCATTACGCGGCACGAGGGATTTGAACCACCGAACTGCTGACCTTTCTGATCGACAAGCTCAGCATCTTAGCCACTGAGCCACTGCGTCCCTTATTATGATCAGATAAATTCATTATATGCATACTGTCGATTGTAGGTGGCAATCCCATTTTTTCTTAAAGCATCATCATATATTTTTTAGCAACAACCATATTTAATCCTTTAGACTTCTTGAGCAGGTAACACTGAAAATCAATGGAACTTTAAAAAACATTAATGAATCTAAATTTCACTTATTGCAAAGGGTCCATTTTGAGTATTTTTGGATGCAAACAATAACCTATATTTTTACTATATGATTTTAACAGAAAAGAAACAAAAATAGAAAAGACTAATAGAATTAAAGACTTGGAAAGAAGACCAGTCTAAATGAAAGTTGGATATTGGTCTAGTTTGGTTATAGCCAATGAAATCAATTGATCATGCCAGCTGTTGAACTGCTCTTACTGTAAGGGATTAATATTCAATTGGAATCTGTTTTAGGTTTTAAATCTAAAACCTAATAATAAATTTAAATTTAATAATAATTTCTGATTATGGTATTCCAATATTCTAAATGTAAATAAATATTTTTATGAAACAGGTGAAATTACATAAAACATACCTTGAGTCCCCGAAAACTTCCAGGACTTGTTGGTGAGGAACTAGATGATTTTGCTGATTTAGGAGTAGAAATCTGGCTGCTGGGGGCTCCACTGACTTATAAAAAAGAAGAGAAATGAACATGTTAATCAGTAACGTAAAAGTTATAGTAAAGAGGTGATGGTTTCATTTTATCTATGTTAACTGTCTGGTGATACACAGTATGAGAATTATAATAAGTTCAACAATATATGCTTATCAAAGAGCTGTTAAATACCGTTCCTAATGTTTTTTGGGGGAGGGGGGGTCCCAAATAATTCTTTTTTTTTTGTTTCCAATGATTCAACCCCCCCCCCCCAGAATTCTCTTTTCCTTGGATATCCTTAAGACTTGATGAGAAAGTCTTCCTTGGTATGTCAATTCAAGCATCAGCACAACCTTTTCCAGACTGGTATCCTTCCTTTTATAGGTAGTCTTCAATTTACAACATTGGTTTATTTGGTGACCAAAGTTACAATAGCATTGAAAAAAGTGACTTATGGCCATTTTTTCATAGTTATGACCTTGGTAGCATCTACAGCAGTGTTTCTCAACCTTGGCAACTTGAAGATGTCCGGACTTCAACTCCCAGAATTCTCCAGCCAGCATTCGCCAAGGTTGAGAAACACTGATCTACGGGAACATGTGAACAAAATTCAGATGCTTGGCAACTGGTTCATACTTATGACCATTCTGGTGTCCCAATGTCATGGGGGTTTTCTTTTGCGACCTTTTGACAAGCAAAGTCAATGAGGAAGGAAGATTCACTTAACAACCAGGTACTAACATATGAACTGCAGTGATTCACTTAACAACTGAGGCAAAAATATTATAAAATGAGACAAAACTCACTTAACAAAGGTCTCTGTATATTTTGACCATAGTTCCCACATTTCTCAAATAGCAAACTGGAAAAGTTGCTGTTAAGACTTTTCTCCTGTATTGCACTGGAAACAGTTGATAGTATCTTGTCTATCTGTAAGCTTTATATGTATGTTTTGCTTATTGACTTCATAGTTCTAATTGTTTCACTATCAGATGTTTTATCAGTACATCCTTCTGAAGAAAACCCAATGGATTACTGCATAGACTAATCCTTGAAGATGGTTAAGAAATTGCAGCTGGCCTCAAATATTGCACGTGCTAAGTGAGTGTCACAGGTGCTACATTACTCCTGTAGCAATAACTATGTGGTTCAATGTTTTTATAAGACTAAGACCCAAGTTATATACAGGAGTATCTATCCTTTAAATCTGACCTCCACATCTTATGTTTTCAATGGAACATCTTTTGCAGGTCCAACCACTGATTATAGTCTCCTTCAAATTAAACCTGATTGCTGAGACAATGTAAAAAGTCAATTTTGTTTTTTTGAGATCTATATCGTGGAACAAATGCCAAGTCAGATTTGTCCTTATTACAATTTGGGGGGCAAGGAGGAGGGTTAAAACCTGTCTTAACCAAGTCTTAGATTTGTTACATTTTTGTTTTACCCTTCATATTATTTTCTTGTATTAAGTCAAACAGATCCATGCTTCTTTAAAACACACATTTTTGCAATGTCCTATACTTACTAAATTTTGAGAGACAGTAGCGGACGGTATATGAATATTATGAAGCATAAAAAAGCTAAAGTTTTCAAAGGATAATATTCTCTTGAATTACATACCTAGTACATGGAATTTCACAACTGGACAACATAAATGGATTCTCTGTGCTCTTATTATAGTTAAAAAAACCAACATTGCAACATTTGCAACATGATAACATTTGCCATCTTTGAGTGGATTGCCACCAGATCAGTGGTGGGATTCAAATAATTTAACAACCGGTTCTCTGCCCTAATGATTTTTTCCAACAACCAGTTCACCAAACTGCTCAGAAACCTAACAACTGATTCTCCCGAAGTGGTGCGAACTGGCTGAATCCCACCACTGCTACAGATGTAAACTTTGTATGAATAAGTGTAATGAAATCTAGAATTAATCTACACGAAGGATAGTTGATCAATAGAAGATAAGGTTATATAACTGTATTAGAAATTAATATATTTGTAATTGAATATTATTAGCCAAATTTTACATTAGACATTTTTTATTTTTTCCATTCTATATTTCACATTCTTAATGCACTTCTTTGAAAATGTATGTCTTTGCATTATAATTATCTTTATATTTTGCTTTTCTTTTTTCTTGTTATTGATTTAAAAACAATAAAAATAAACAATAAAAATAAATTTTTGAAAAGTCAAACAAATCCATGTGGGTGTGGATGGCATACACATTTGTAAATAAAACAAATGCACAAATAATACATCCTTTATTAACTGGACTTCCTAAGCTTTTTTGTAATGCTTCATCAGATTCTAACATGTACCAAAAATAGCTTATTTATAAGGTGTCTGAACATAGCAACCACACTCCCAATGATATAATTTATGCTTTAGTGTTTTCATGATTTCTCAGAGAGAAGAAAATGCTTTTGGAGCCATACTGTTTTCAACCATAGTTCAGTTGCTTTTTTTAATGAGTCTGTCAACTAGATATTTAGTTTCCATGGAAATCTTTGTAACAACTTACACATTTAAATTCTGTAAAGAATATCTATAATGGGCAGCAGAACATTCATTTAACAGGTGCTTTGTGAATATCTGCAAGGATGAATATGCCAAATGAGATTTAAAATAAATAAAAAATACATACACAAATAAAAGTCTTTAATATTTACAACCAACATGCATACAGAGAATCTAGCCTTCTTCCTCTGAACTAACTGCATTACATTTCCCAATGATTAAGAACAGGTTTCCCCACCTTGGCATTTTTCAGATCTGTACACAACACACAGAATACTCAGACAGAATGTGAAGAGGTAACTGGGAATTTGGAGAGCTACAGTCTACCCACAACTAGAAAAAATATTTTATTTTTAGACCACATTTGCAAGTGTCTATATCTTCCTCTGAGTGCCTCTATGTTTACCAAGCAAGTTGCAGACTATACAGGTTCTCTGAATCTATTGGGTACACAAAATAAAATAGCAAGTAGTTTACTCTCCTTGCATTTATAAAGAACCAGAATTGAATTTTTAACTTTCCTAATCATCAATCAGTTTTAGGAGTCTGGAACAGAGCCAGCTGGCCGTGTTCAATAGCACGACTCCAAACATCATAAAATATAAATTGTCAAAAGCAAAATCTTCTGAAAAGCATCCTTACAATTGACTTCAAACAGGTGCAAGTGATGAATCCACACAATATGAAAGCCACATTGCAATGGAAGACAAGGGAAAAACAATCGGAGGATTACCAGATACCACAAAAGACACTAATATGCACGACAAATATTTTTTTCCTTCTTATTTGAAGTATAAAGTTTTCATATCGTTCTGAAAGTTACTTATCTACAATATTCAAAGCATTGAATCTTATCACTCAATGGGGAAATCAGAATGAGAACTAATGTCTTGTAAGTGAAGAAGAAAGTGGTCACTAGCACCTTTCACAAGTCTATTTACAAAACTATACTGCATATAGTATTTACAAAACTCTATTTATAAACCTATTCTGTAAGCAAAACAGTTAATTCAGCTGCATTCATCAAGACCTTGGAAGCCACTATGGTTACTAATATCAACTGATATACAAATCACTAAAACTAATTAACATGATTTTTATTTCTGACACACTTTTCTACATAAGCAAATTATAAAATATGCTTTACTTCATTATTTATTTATTTATTTAAAAAATGTCATTGTATCTGAATGCCTCCAACCTCAAATTTAGCTATATGTTGGATCAACACATCTTTCTTTAATAGTGATTATCAAATGATATCTTAATAAATCAGTTGTCTAATATAATGTTAATATCATATATGTGACTATTTCCCAAGGTCTTACAGAAAAGGGAAGTCAATTAAGTCTTCGTTTTGCTAATCATAACATATGTAATATAAAGATAAGGGAATAGATCAACAGACAGAAAAAGTAAAATAGAAATGTAGGAGAGAAGATGGTGATATGAAGCCATAGCATGAATGGCTCACCTGGGGATTTTGCTGAAGAGCATGTACTGGAGTACTGGCCACCCCTCTTTACTGTACTCATTCAATTGATAAAAAAAGAAAAAGAAGAAAGGTTATTCATAGGCAAGAAAACGATAAAGAAGAGGAAAATTCAACTATTTGTTTTCTAGCAAAGATATGATAAAACTTAAATATATTATCACATATACCACTTAAACTAACATAAAAACTCATTGTGTTTCAAATCTGAATTATTTCAAGCTGAAAGTTGATTATGTATGAAACAGAAACTTTCAAGCATTTTTAAAGCGCTTCAAGCATAACCGTATTGTGGGAAAGGTGAGGAAGTCGGTTTCAGATTAAGTTAAAACCATGAATTTAGCAGAGCATACATACTTTCTGAGGAATAAATTTAATTACTGTCTGTTTTAGTGTCATGCAATACTGATGCTACGTGAAGCACATTACATTATTTATCACTTTGGTCCTTACACTTGGACAGCAGTGTACATATGATACTTTGGATATTTGTCTTGTTTGTTACCCGAGAACTGCCCTGAGTTCAGCCACCAAATTTTTAAAACAAACTGTAATAATGATAGTCTTGTGTTTACATTTCCCATAAATTCTGACGTTGAGAACCTGTTGCCCAGCATTATTCTTCACAACTACATTCCAAGTCAAAATGTCTGTAAGTACATTGATTATCTGAACCTAATTCAGTGTTGAAGTCTGGTTAGGACAAAATCACCCATAGTTGCCCAAATTGGTGACTTCTTTCAGAAAAGAGACAGAGAAAGTGTTACTGTTGACCTGCTTCATTTCATCAGGATTTGACCATCATTTCCACTTGGTGACTAGAGACTTGCTGTACAATGGCCACTCTCTTACTTGAAGGAACAATCTTAATAAGTACTATTTTGTACTCTAACAGGGTACATATTCTGGCAGTTCTGTTGTACAAAGCACATTTTTGTTTTATATGAAACTACTGGAGTTGGTTATTATAGGTTTTGGAGCTGGATATTGCCAATATGGATATTTATTTATTATATTTTATTCCAGTTCATTGTTAAATGAATTATGGATGGTTTAGCATTAAAAACAATATGATTTACCCAAAACAATCAAAATAATTCATTAATAAACTATAACATTACTATTAAAATACAAACCTCATAATCATAGTAATTATTAAGTGTTCTGGAGGGCAAAATTTTTGGGGGGACGGCTTAATTTTAGTAGCTTTTTTGAAAGTCAGAATGGGTTTGTGTGTGCCCTCAGGATTTCTGTTTAGCATGGGAATATTCCAGAAAATTAGTGTCATAACAGAAAAGAACAGATTTCTTCCTCTTCGTTGAATGTCCAGTGAAAAGAAACTTTCACATACATACCTGGTATACTGGATATGGCATTTAGTTTGAAGCAAATAGTTCTATTGCTACCTGGATTCAAAACCATGTAAGACTTTATAGATCAAAAGATATCAGATTTTATATTGAGCCCTGTTTGGTGTTCTGTGTGGTATGCAATGGCTCTTTGCTTGCCAAAAGGCGCTCTGCACCATCTGCAGCTTCTCAGCAGTGTTTGAAGGCCACCCAATCTAGAGCACATTGCGGTAATCTGTGTAGAAGAGGCCAGTAATGTGAGTTCTACCAGAAATGTTTATTTCTCCAGGAATGGTCAAAACTGGCACAACGACTCAAAACTGGCACATAACTTCCCCCCTGCCTATATTTCTTCTATCCGCATCCTCCAGGCCTCAGGTCAAGATTTCTACTGTATCAATGGCTGATACCAAGGTACAGATGGATAACAATGATAATTGCAGACAATCACAAAAATATAAAACCCTGCATATAGAAGTAGAATGACTATGGCAAAACAAAGGTAGTACCAATTCTAATAGGTGCTCTGTATGCAATTCTAAAACATCTGGGGCACTATTTAAACATCATCAGCATTGACAAAATCACCATCAGTCAATTGCAAAAGGCAGCTTTTAGGTAGATCTCAACTTACAACTGGTTGCTTAAGGACCATTCACAGTTATGATGGACTCAAAAAAAGTTCCTTAGGACTCATGCTTGAAATTACAACCGCCATACCACCCTGTGGTCACATGAATGCATTTTGGGCTCTTGGCAACCAGCTCACATTTACAGAATAACAGAGTTGGAAGGGTTCTTGGAGATCTTCTAGTCCAACCCCTACCAAGCAGGAACCCTGCTTCTTCTTAAAAATCTCCAGTGTTGGAGTACCCATAGGTTCTGGAGGCAACTCGTTCCACTGATTAATTGTAAATCTCTCATTAGTTCTAGGTTGCTTCACTCCTTGATTGGTTTCCGTCCATTGCTTCTTGTCCTGCCTTCAGGTGCTTTGGAGATTAGGCTGACCCCGTCTTCTTTGTGACAGCCCCTTACATATTGGAACACTGCTAGTTGCAGTGTCCCAGAATCACATAGTTGTGTTTTGCAAAGTTTTTGCTGTTTTTAGCAAAAAAAAAAAAAAAAAAAAAGCCCATTGGATAAGCTGAATTTGGACTTATGATCATTTAACAACCATGTTACTGGCCTAAAAACTGCAGTTAATTACTTAACATCCATTGTAAAAATGGAGTTAAAATTGTGTCTGGTCGTGTGGTAACTCAACTTCCGACCACAATGACTTATAAGCAAAATTCCAGGCTAACTGTGGTCATAAGTCAGAGTCTACTTGTACTTGGAACAGCTTACATCTTGCAACAATACCTTTACACCAGGAAAGAACATCATTTGCTAACACTAGGTCCTTGGGAAGGACTCAGTAAGCAGTTAAAAATGCAAAATCAGTTTAAATATCTGGCAGACTCTGTGTCCATAAGTTAATTTAAGTTCATATACTGCCCAAATCCCAGCAATTCTGAGGGGTTTACCAATTGTTAAAAAACATTTAAAAACAAGGAATACAAAATTGCAAAAACAATGAGTCAAAACAGCACATGCTAATCAATTAAAAACCAACCATCATCATGTACTACCACAGCATAGCCTACCAGACCACCTACCATGAAATTTCCAGCTATTTCTCAGTTACCAATATCCCTGGCTTTTTCCTGTTCTCCCACCCCCTTTTGTCCCTCCAAATACTTCAAAAAAGCATGTTTTGGGTCAGGCATTGGCCACATGAAACAGTTATTTAATGCATGGAACAATCTGTGCATATTTGGCATATCCCTTGCTAAGATTTTTAATGGTTTAAAGGTTGTAAGTTGCTTTGCGGGAACCTGCTAGAGTGCTTGGTTCTTAAATGCCTTCACATGTTCCTTGCTGTTAGTGAAAAAGGCAATAATCACAGTTTCTTATACTCTCTTTATGGAATTTCCTCCTTAGAGATGTTGAAATGCTACTGAACGTTTAAAAATAAGTTAAGCTTTATTATTTGTTGCAGTACATTACATGTTTTTTTCATATGCTTTCAGTGGTATTTATTCCTTGTTTTGTGTATCAATTTATTTATTCTACTGGCAATTTTTGTAAGTTTAAATGTTTAGTCACTAATTTCTGATTACTTGATTCTACCACAGGGATTGAGCCACGTATGAAAAAAAATGAATTTCTAAAGAGCAGTTCTGTTTTCAGTTACCTGAAGCTGGGGATTTGCTTCGACGTGAAGGTCCAGGACTTTTAGATCCAGAATACCTTGTTGTTCCAGATGCATGAGAATAAGATGATTTCATAACACGGCATTCTGCAAACAACACAGAAGCACATTAGAATAAATATTTTCAATGCACAACCACTTTAATTGAAATATTTTCAATTAAACCACCCCAAAAGGTAGAAGTTCCTAAGTTACTGTTCCTAAATACTATGTTTCCCAGAAAATAACACCTATCCCGAAAATAAACCCTAGCTTAATTTTTACATACGTGCCTAATATAAGTGGCTGCTTGCGCCAGACACCAATTGGCACATTGCACCAGTGCTGCTGCTTGCGGCAGGATGCCACATGCTGCATTGCGCTGGTGCCACCGCTCATGACAGGAAGTTGTATAGTCTAACATGCCAGTGCTCCCACTCACAGCGCAATTGCACAATGTGCCGTGGCCTTCTTGCAACGAGTGGCGGCAATGGCACGATGTACCATGTGGCGTCTGGTGGCTACAGAACAAATCAGACAGCAGTGCCACAGGTGTTGGGGCATGGGAGGCCTGGCTGCAGTGATCTTAAAGTAAGTGGGTAACAAATTCCCAAAAGAAAATAAGTCTGGGTCTTATTTTCAGGGGAACGCGGTAGTTATTACCAAATAAACAAAACACAGCTGCTAACTCAGTGTGTAATACTGTTGCAATAAATCCTTCCCCAAGTTTTTTAAAATCTACATTTGATCAAACTGGCTTCTTAATGATGCTGTAAAATAAGACACCTGAATGTAAATTTATGTTTTTCTGTATGATTGTGGACAGGTTAACTATTATTTAGTACAGTGTGGAATCATTTTTTTTAAACTTCTGTATCAGAGATTAGTGGAATATTGTAATATTTTGGTGGATTGCTACAGACGTTGTTCCAATCAGGTAGTGTTTCACTTGTGGTGCATTAACAAACCTGTGCTGTATTATGCACAAAAAGCCTGCAGAATCATATTTGGCACCCAAATAATTTACTGAGATGAATTAATGAGAATAAGATAACAGGCATCATGTTTTGAAATTCCAGCTGTATATCCTTCAAATTTCCCCTTATATGTGATTTGGGGGTTGGGGTGTCTTAGTAATTTAGCAGAAAATGGGTCTGTTCAGATTCAAAGCATCTAAACCTGAAGCTGATTAAATGCCTTAAACATTAAATCAGCAGCCAACCTGCTGTCAATTGGTTAGAGACTTAAATAGTCCAATGATATCACAAGTTTAATAAATAGATAATAAATATGCTTGTTTATTCTGCCAGGGTGTGATCACATGAGTTATTCTATAATAGGAGATACCAAACTGGATTTCTTTGAGGGCCGGATCAATACTGTAGTTCTCCTCTGCAGGCCGGCTGAGAAGGGGAGGACAGGAAGGACACCTCCTGCAGCACCCTGCCAGCCAAAATGGGATGTTGGGTGGGGGGGCTCACGCAGCCTGTTTTTGCTGCGGAGGCACTGCGGGCCAGTCCTTTGCCATTTCCAGGCCAGTCCCATGGGCCAGATTTAAACACCCCGCGGGCTGGATCTTGCTCAAGGGCCTTGAGTTTGACAACCCTGCTCTATAAGAATGGATGATATATTGTCTATATTATGACCACTCACTCAGTTAATACATACAAATGGGTTAAATGGATTCTTACAATCCATAAAGCATTTTAGGTGTGTATACTTACCACTATGGTCCAGAACAAAATCATCTTGAGCATAACGGTATTTTTCAGGTCCACAGGCAATAAAAACATCATCGTCACCAAAAAAGTCTTGCAAACAGGTAACCTTTAACAAAAAAAGCAACGTCACAAGGGGCCATCAGAGGCTGAGAAACAGACATTACATTATGTATTTATGATCTGCCTTGCACTGTTGCTTGTACCATTGAAAGTTAAACACAAATAGACAATGAATGGTAGTATACGTACAATTTCTATTTTTTTCTATCACCCCAATATCATGACTCTGGATGCTATATGTGAATCTCAACAGTGATCTTAACATGAAAATAATCACATCAATAAAAATTATCAAGAACAGGTAATGGATGACATTATTCTGCTAAGCAGCAGGGAAGGACCATTCCCAGCAAACTCTAGGCCATAGCATTGGGGTCCCAATTCTTCTGACCCATGCTCCTTCACTTCCCGAGAGTAGAGCACCCTAAGAAGGCTCTCTCTGAATGACCTAAAAGGAAGAGAAGGGTCATTCTGGTTAAGTCACTGTTTAAAACAGTGGTAGTCAACCTGGTCCCTACCATCCACTAGTGGGCGTTCCAGCTTTCATGGTGGGCGGTAGGGGTTTGCTGTAACTCTGCTTTATAAATTTTATAAAGTAAAATTACTTCCCTACTTTATAAATCACCATTAATATAGAACCGGTGGGCGGTTAGAAAATTTTACTACTAACAGAGATACAAAACTGGGCAGTAGGTATAAAAAGGTTGACTACCCCTGGTTTAAAATAATCCAGTGACATGCCATATAAAGTAGGGAAGGTATAGTACTTTGAATTGGGATTGGAAGCAGCAGAGCACCCAAAAAATAAGTGTCATTCTACATTCCCAGAAAGAGCACATTTTACAGGTCTAACCATGCAGGAGCTGCAAGAGGCCATTGCAGCAAAAAAATGGGGCGGGGGCAGGGGGGGTGGGGGGGGGGGGGGGGGGTGGGGGGGGGGGGCGTCTCGCGGGTGGCGGGGGTTGGGGGGGGACAATTTTTAAAGGCAGGATTTCCCTCAGATCTTCCCTCATAATATTCCTTCCTTCCTTCCTTCCTTCCTTCCTTCCTTCCTTCCTTCCTTCCTTCCTTCCTTCCTTC